ACTCTGATACCCGTGTTCTTAGCTGTTTTTGTGATTTTATACTTATAAAAGAAGTTACTTAATTTGCTATGTGGAAAGTGCAGTTGAAATTCATGGACCTTCATTGTAATTTCTATGGAGCACTATTCCCCTATTTGGGCTCCATTAAAATATGTTTGTGGGGAAAAATGTGTTCTGAAATAGTGATTTTTTTTTAAGAATGTGTGGTTAAAGGAGAAGGAAAAGTTTAGATTTAATATTATTTAATTGAATGTGTGGTTAAAAAGAGGAGAGAGAGAAATGCATTAAAATTTTAATGGAGCCCAAGCAAGTGCTATGCTTGCGTCTAGCTTTTCCTCCACTTTTCTCGATGATTTAGGGCAGAGAACATTTTTGTTTCTTAATGTTTTTTGCAGAACCTCACCAAGTTATTGACTTCTTGTATTGTTTTACTGAGTTACACTATCTATTCACCTACAATCACCCTGAAGGAAATATGTCTCTGATTTATGTTTAACTATTCTTGTGGCTACCTCAATGCAGATCATGAGTTGCGTGACCTTGCTGCTTCTTTCCAGTCTTCTTCTGGCAAACCAGCAACCAGATTTATGAGCCTTGCAAGACGTGTAAGAAGTTCTCTAAGGCGAAATGATAGGCCTAGTTTCGTATCTGCATTTTGCCAAACCAATTGTGGGGATGTTAGCCCAAATGTGCTTGGGACCTTCTGCATAGACACAGGGTTGCCTTGTGACTTCAATCATAGTACCTGTGGAGGGAAGAATGAATTATGCTATGGCCGAGGTCCTGGGTATGCATACTCTCGCATTTTGTTACTTTCCGGAATAAATCGTAATATAAAATGGTTTTTACTTCAATATTGGATTGTACATAGTTTTTACTGATTATAATCTTATCTCTTGCTAACATGGAAGGTACCCAGATGAATTTGAAAGTACACGTATCATTGGCGATAGGCAATTCAAAATGGCGGTAGAACTTTTCAGTAGTGCATCAGAGCAATTGAAGGGGAAGGTTGATTATCGCCATACTTACATCGACTTCTCTAAGCTCGAGGTGACAATTCCTAAACAGGGAGGAGGTACTGAGATTGTAAAAACCTGTCCTGCAGCGATGGGGTTTGCATTTGCTGCTGGTACAACTGATGGACCTGGGGCTTTTGATTTTAAGCAAGGAGATGACGAGGTTCTGGAGCAGGATCTATATTTTTATAATTAACTCTATGCTCTTGTTTAGCATGTAGAGAAGTGTACTTATGCTCTCTTTCTCTGCTCTGTTGGTATGTGTTCCCAGGGAAATGCGTTTTGGAGACTGGTGCGTAACCTACTTAAAAAACCAAAACAAGGACAAGTTGATTGTCAAGATCCAAAGCCCATTTTGCTTGATACTGGTGAAATGAAAGAGCCTTATGACTGGGCGGTGAGTTAACATCTTAGTGCAATTTTTTTAACTTTTAATGCAATTGGATTTGCTAACTTTCAGATACTTCTAATAGGAAGCAATTTAAACTCTATGGAGACATTTTGTAGTTCTAGTTCCGTCGAATTAAACACTTGATTCTTGGTTTTGCCTGGAATCTGGAAGTAAAGAGTGAGTTGCTTTTACCGGGATATAATTTGCTAATGTGAGCTTTCCTAAGTCTGATAAGTTGATAGTTATGTTTAAGAAATATTGCATTTGATGATAATTGAAGACAATAATATTCTGCTGCAAAGAAGGAAAACTTTTAAGCTAAAAATTTCTTCTGGACATTTTGAATATACGTAGATTGAGGATAATTCAACATAATAGGGCTGGGTTTTCATGCATCAAACTGTGAGATCTAAATTGCATTGCAGAATGAATCATTGGAGAGTTTGACACGCTATCAGATTTAAACCTTTATGCTCAATCTCATATGACTTGCTCTTCTGAACTAAGTTTACCGAGTTTGTTGATTGAAAATTTATATGGTTGAGGAGAATATTATAAACGAAATAAGAGAGTATCTTCAGATTACTCGCTTCTCTTCTTCTCGTGGTAGTGAACTAAGATGTTGTATTCATGCCATATTGATTGTGCTTCCGCTAACCATAAGTGGTGTTGCTCAATTTAGGAAGTTGAAGCTCAACTTTTCTTGTTATGAGTGCATCTTCATTTAATCTTCCTCTGGGAAGTCATCCGTTATATGTTATTAACAATTGAAAATATTGTACTGCAATTTTTACTTACTGGGGCACATTATGTACTGAGAACGCTGATAAGTTTAGTTTTCTATGATTTTTTTATTTTTTATTTTTTTCATTTTTTAGCCCTCAATACTTCCAGTCCAGATTCTGAGGATCGGACAGCTGGTCATTCTCAGTGTACCTGGAGGTAGTAACCTGGCTTCTTTTCCATTCTTTTAAGCATGTAGATGTTTAAATTTTTTATTTTGCACCATATTGTGCTCATATGATTGAGATGAATCAATTGCAACTTTTCTCTTGTATGGTTATTTCAAATATTTATTTGCTTCTTCGTCTTAATTAACTCATTCTTCTTAGTAATATTCCAGTTTTGTTGATGTGGAACTAAGAGAACCTATAGAAAATTACACGCTAGGTCAAATCTATTGGGTCTTTACGTTGCTTCAGATTTCATTATGAGACGGGAATGTAGGGTTCTGAAAGAATTTTGAATCAAAATTTCTTTGGTTTTATCAGTTCTATTTTTTATTTGAAATAGAACTGATAAAACCAAAATTACGAGGCGGAGACATATTTCCATCTCTGCAGTTGGCTGAAAATATGACCAACAACATCGAAATATCAAATAAAAATAGCTCCCCAGAAGCTGAATTCTTTATTTGCCTTCAAATTCCACGATATCTCAATCTTGGCAGTTTGCTGCACAACCTTCAATAAATATGCATCCATGAGCTTGTTTGTGGTTATACTTTTATACATGAGTAAAATCGAAGCCACTCTCATGATATATTAAGTACGTCAGTGTTCATGAATCTTGCTTCCATGTCAAAAGAGTAACATCATCTTAATTTAGTAGAACATGTTATGAGATGGAGAGGTAGAACAATATTAACGTGACCCTGTGGTTGTAAAAGATCTAGTTGCGTCAGATTTTTCTGTACATATAGTGACTCACCAAGTGGAATGGTGAAAAGGGAATAGCCAGCAGAAATTCATTGGGAATAATGCTTAGGTATGTTGTTGCTGTTCATGAACATTAACTTCACTAGCCTTTGTGTAACAGAATTCACTACGATGGCTGGAAGACGGCTAAGAGATGCTGTGAGAACGGTGCTCACAAGTGGAGGTAGCAAAGAATTTGATGAAAATGTTCACGTAGTGATTGCTGGGTTGACAAATACATACTCACAATACATAACAACCTTTGAGGAGTACCAGATACAGAGATATGAGGTCAGTTGCTGAATCATGGTAAATGATACAATAAACTGTGGGCACCACTAATGTTTTGCAGAATGATAAAGACAACATTCTCAACCACTAGATAAAGACGTTGAAATGTACAGATTAATGATTGGGGCAGACTAGGAGGTTAACTCTACGTATATATTCCCGAAATTATCTGACTGAAACGTGATGTGAAATTAAGAAATGGAATTCTTATCATGGTAGAATTAGCATGCTTAAAGTTGCTGCAGTCGAAGGTTTGCCTATTTATTTTACATGCGGTATCACTTTGAGAATCTACACAAGTGTCTAAAATACCGAAATTTTTTGGATACCTATAAGCCACGTGACGAAGTGTTTTGAAAATTCACACACAGAGATAGAAGAAAAGTACATAGATATTTAATCTATTGGTGAAAAAGTGTTGTGCACTAGTATACCTCTGTTGATTTCCCTCAAAAAAACTTTGGAACTGTTCCACCGTGTTATGCTGTCTCATTCCAAGTTCATTTATTAACTATACTCTTAATAGGTAAGCAGACCCAACTGTGGGTAGATCATAAGCATAATTTTTCCAGCCATTTTGAACATGAAAATGTCGTCTGTTTAGATAAATTTGAAGGCATTCTTCATAGCTTATAGCTTATTACTCTATTGTAAATCATGAAATAAAAATACACCTTTTGCCATCTCCATTTAGAGATTTATTCGTAGATGCACAATGACGCCAGTTTTCTGGTCTCTTAACTTCTGCCCAAGGCTAACATTTACAGTTCATAAAAAAATTATTGTTCTTCGGATGCTAAATGCATATCTTCGTTTCCTTCCCAGGGTGCCTCGACGCTATATGGCCCACATACCCTCTCTGCCTACATTCAGGAGTTCAAGAAGCTTGCAGCAGCCCTTATCAGTGGACTGTCTGTGCAATCTGGTCCACAACCCCCAGATCTTCTAGGCAAGCAAATAAGCTTGCTAACACCAGTCGTGATGGATGCAACTCCTTGGGGTGTAAAGTTTGGTGATGTCAGCAAAGACGTACCCAAGAACTCTACCTTCATGAGAGGTGAAAATGTAACCGTTGTTTTCTGGTCAGCATGCCCCCGAAATGACCTGATGACCGGAGGTACATTTGCACTGGTTGAGATTCTCCAAGGGAAGGATAGATGGGTTCCAGCTTACGATGATGATGATTTTTGCCTTCGCTTTAAATGGTCAAGACCTTCTAAACTAAGTACTCGAAGTTATGCAACCATAGAATGGATAATACCAGAAAGTGCTGCTTCAGGGGTATATAGAATAACGCATTTTGGTGCCGCGAAGCATCTTTTGGGGTCAATTAAGCATTTTACAGGCTCCTCTAGCGCTTTTGTTGTAGCATGAGACTAGCATATTTATACACGACCCTGAATCTATGTTATTCTTATTGTGGAGTTATATATACATGTACGAGTATTTTAATACTATTTCTCTTTTGGCATTTTTCAATTTTGTTACTTCATAAAGGAGTGGAATCTCAACGAGATATCTTGCATGTACGAGTAGCTTTACTCAAATGTTCACAAAGGAGTGGAATCTCAACGAGATATCTTGCATTTCTGTAATGAACTGTTTAGAACAATTTTGCCAACATAATGAACTAATGAACCCTTTAGCAAGAGAAAAATGATATGCAGTCGAGATGCAAAGTTGTAAGCAATAACACAGTAGACGTACATTTGTATCGAAGTTTAATACTCGAAAAACAAAATAAAATTAAAAAGAGAAGGGAACATAAATAAGGGTTCTAACTAATAAGAGATGAAAGATGCTTAGATGCATAACGATAAACTCGAGAGGTTATTTCTCTTCATCATCCTCCTCTATCTTAGGTGCCAAGTAGAACCTGAGATGACCCATCTCCGCAATCTTGTATTCTACTACTACTGGAAGCTCTGAAGACAAACTTATAGTAACTGTATTTGACAATGGAGTTCCCTTGGTGAAGGAATTGAAGTACCTCAAAGCAAAAGTCAAGGAAACTGGTTCATTCATCTCTACAATTGTTGCATCCTCCGGCTACATATGGAAAATAAAAAATTAAACGCCTATACCATTTTGTAAAGATGGAACAACAAAATTTATTTTCCATTTTTCTAGACTATTAGGAAAAAAGGGGATGACAGCGACTTTGTACTAACATCACAAAAACACACCTTGTCAACAGTGGTGTTTTGCCTGCACACAACATTGGCTGTTCCAATATCACCACTTGTAGAGAATTTTACACCTTCTTTTGTGACAGAGATAACAACTGCAATAAACAATCAGACCAAAAGTTCAATTCAAAGATTAGTGGCAACTTGTATTGCATATATTAATAATGATTACCTGTGTCACCAATGCTGCTGAGATCTTTACAAATTCTTGCAAACTCAGTGGAAGGCATCCTAACTATAGCATGGTACTCAGCTTCAGGGATCCCAAGATGTTCACTATCAACATCCATGAGCTTCATCTCAAAATCTGAAATCTTATCTTGGGCTGTGATCGAGTGAAATAACCCATAAAACAAGTCAAATGTAAACATCAATGAGGACAAAATCCAAATGCTGAAATATTAGTAAAGAAAATGAGCATATAGCAACATTGAACTTCCAATTTAAAGAACGCTAGTTACACAGCAACCTGAGATCCCAAGAAGAAATCAAAGCTTTCATCAATTTTCAAAAGATCATTACATAATATATATAAAAGAAAAAAATTATACAGCAACGAGAAAAGTGGAAACTAGGTCTTCTTATGGTTCGATTAAAACAAAAAACTGTTGCCAGTCATAGTATTCTTCAACAGTCATGGTTTTCCGTCATTTTGAATTCGTTTCAGCAAACTGTACCGATATGTTATTAATTTTATTTTATTAAAAATATAAGCAGCAAGAAAAAGGTAACTTCGATGCTTCTTTTTTTCTTAAACTCTTCTTTTCCTTTTACCAAATTTGCAACTGCATTGTCACCTCACAAAGTTCAAACGATACTGCCAAACATTCAAATTTATGATGGAAATATATGAACATAATATTCCGTTATTCATATATTCCTCTTTTGAGTATCACAAATTCACTAAAATAAATAAATAAATAAAAACAAATTAGTTTCTTTATATGTATCCACCTAATTTCCAATATCAAGATTTAGGCTAAAGAACAACTCTTTAGGAGGGGAAAAAACCATCAAAAAATACAACACCAAACAATAAACTGAACGCCATGTATGAATTTTAAGCAAATTGACAATGAGAAAACAGAACATATGTACCTAATATTCTTCATGCGGCCAAATTAATTTGTTCACCGTTCGCATTAGTAAATAAATTTTAAATCTTCAGTAACACAAAATCTCCTTTTCTCAAAACAGAACATGAGGGCACAACGAAATGTTCCGGTCAAAAGTAACATCACAATAAACAAAAATCGAGTAAAATTAAGCACATACTGGGGCTTTCAAACATAAAGGTGACAGTGTCACTGCCATCGTCAGCCTTGAGAGTGATAATATCATCGTTGCCAGCACACTTGAGCATTTTAGCCATGTTGTTGAGGTTCATTCCCATGGAGATGTTCCGGTCACATCGGTAATGCTCAAATCCTTCAGATCTGAGAAGTAAAGACACCAGCGCCACATGGCTGCTGTCCATTGCCTGCAGTGAGAATCCCGTTGCCGAACAATCGAAATTGGCATCGGTCACTAGATCCTTTATGGCCTCCAGAACCTTCTTCAACAGGCTACCCTGCACCAGCCTGAGTTCCAGCATTTTCAGTGTGGAATTAGGGTAAGGGATTGGTTTGAAAATTGGAGAGAGAATGAAAGAGTTGGAAATTTTGGAGAGGAAAATTAAGAGGGATTAGGGTTTATATTATAGCCACGATTAGGGCACAGTATTGGCGGGGATGAAAATATCTTAAAATTCCCGCCAATTTTTCGGAATATTGTATTGCCTAAAATTATTATTAATAGCATCATAATTTTATTGTATTTAAAAATCTCATTTTTTTTGCTCATTTATGTTTCTAATTTTTTTTTGATGCATTTTTATTTTCCATAGAATACATCTTGTTCATGATAATGGTCTTTATTCAAAATTTTGAGCCTGTTTGGGAGTGATTTTGAGAATTGATTTTTTGACCGTTAGGAGAAAAGTGGGTTCACCTGTGAAAGAAGAAGTCAAATATGACGGCTGGAATAGTGAAATAACGGTCAAAAAATCAATTTTTTGGGTGAAAAAATCGGGCCCAAACAGGCCCTTAAAAAGTAGGAAAAAAAGAACTTATTATTATGAGATTGTATAACTAAAATAATATGAGCTAAAAGAAATTTGGAAAGAATAGTTTAATAATTACTGCATTCTTAGCTCAACACCATGCTTCTACAAGCCAAGATGATTACTTGCTTTTTTTCGATTCAAGAAGGGTGTATCGATTCCGAGTTAACAAAGTTGTGCACAGAAATTTATTTATTTTTAGTAAACTCAATCGAGCGAAGTCTAAATGATGGATCCATTCCCAAGCTTAAATCAACAACCTTCGATGCATAGACATTTCCTCCACCGGTGCACAGAGATATCATCGAGGTGGTTGCCACACAGGAGTTCCATACATATTTTACAGGCACTCTCTCAAACTTGTTGCCAAATCCTTTAATTATGCTTCTGGAAGCTAGACTCAAATAGAGACTAGAATATATCGTGCTTCTAATTAAATCGTGAGTTTTATACTTTTAGCATTCAATATCCTTGTATTCACATGGTAGCGTGTTAATTAACAAGTTCAATGATTTGATCCCAAGAGATGACAATTCACATGGGGCATCAACTTTCATCAATAAATAAGTGAACCTTGTACTTGACTCTTCTTGAATTCTTCGAACACACTAGGATTATTTTTCGTGAGAATCAAATCATCAACATATACTATCAATATCAATTAGGGGTGTAAGCGGTCCGATTTTATCGATTTTTGACAAATTTTCAAATCCAACCGTTTAAATCGGTTTGAGAAAAACTCAAACCTAAACTAAACAATTTTGAACGGTTTGAAAAAAAAAAACTCAAACCTAAACCTAACGGTTTGATCCAGTTTTAAACCGTCGGTTTCGCCGTATAATTTTTTGTCTGTCTACTTTTATGACATTGATTCATTGAATTTAATATATATTTATATCTTACAAGCTATAAATCTAAAACAATCTAAGCCCTTGTTTGAACCAAATTTTTGGGACAAAAAAAATGAAAATTTAGATCACTATCCCACAAGTCCAACTGTATTTGTTAATCTGTTGTTTCATGCGTGGGACCTAACCTCCTCTCCAACGATCAATTTTCTCAGTATGATAACATGAAAAATATGGCTCGAATAGGGGCTAAATATATCTACTATAAATTTAAATATCTACTAAATCAAAGTAAAATCACAATAAATTAAAACATAGTTTTTTTCATTTTTGTTCACTTTTTTTAGACTAATTACTTTATGATAATGTTACAATACAAGTCTACTAAACGAGATATAAGGTAAAAAAAACATAGTGATATCCAAAAAGATCTCGTGATCATCATATCTGAAAAAATGTTACTGATTAGATAAAGAATAACCAACCAGAATAATAAAGCAATTGTTTATAATATCTAAACATAACAATTACACAAGCTTACGTTTGTATGTTACGAAACGCATTTAATTTTAGATTCTTACCTCAATTTGCTCAAAAAATTATTGATTTGAAACTTTTTTCGTAGTAAATATTATCACCAAAAGCCTAGGATCTCTTTGTCTCCGATTTGGTGTAATGAACTACAATTCAACTTTGAAGAGACGTAAAAAATCTAAAGAAAAAGTGTGTGTTGTCGGTGGCTCAAAACTGTGTCTGGCGTCAGCTAGAGTTTATCTGAATTCTGAAGAGAAAAAAGGATTTTGCTCCGATTTAGTATAATGGACTACAATTCAACTTTGAAGAGGCGTAAAAAATCTGAAGAAGAAGAGTGTATGGTGCTGGTGGCTCAAAAGTGTGTCGGGTGTCAGAGGAAAATGGTTTTTGATAGAGTATGTTAGTTTTGAGATTATTAGATATAAATTAGGATTATTAGGTAATAATAATATATATGTATTAGAAAATTAGAAATTGACAAAAATACCCACAAATGATAAAACTATTGAATTTTACATATTTAGATGAATTTTCAAAAAAAATTATTTTTTTATTCTTATATATTTTTTGCCAATCCGATTTGGTTTTAAACCGCAATTAAAATTCTCAAACCTAAATCAAACCATTTTGACCTGTTTGGTTTGGTTCGGTTCAAAACCATTTCGTTGATCGGGTCCACGTAGTACCAAACCGACGGTTTCTAAAATACGGTTTCTATTCGATTTTTACTTACAGCCCTAGTATCAATAAATATCCATAAGGCACGTTAAGGATATGGTTATCGGGTGCCTGCAGTTTATTTTGATAATTGTTTCATCTACAGGCTACAGCAACTTAATTATTTTACAGAGCTTAATAATCCTTGGAACACAGCACATTTCTCTGCTAATTGTTAAGCTGAAAGTGTGCACTATTTACAGTTATTGCAGAAGCACCAGCAGTACCCTCCAGTCAACAAGAATAAGATCAGTTTTCATGATAACTACAGGCAACAATGCACTTCAGGATTGTTAGGTGTAAAAATTTTGACTCATCGAAGACAGTAAGACTCACAAGAATTAATGTGCTCAATGGAAATTAGACAGGATATATGTGGACGGGACAGCAGAATGAACCTGGATCAGCCTTTTTGGATTGGAAAATTAATGCTAGGAGGGTGAAGGAGATGTAGGATATTATCGAAGAAAAGAGATAGACGGGGAAGGAGAGTGAAAGAGAGGGAGAAAGAGAAGAAGATAGGAGATAGGAAAGGGAGAAAAAAAACAGAGACAGGAGTAGAAAGGGGAGAAGCAGAAATTGGAGAATAAAATTATAGTTTTAATTCTATATCAAGGTTTAACTATTAGAAGCAGAATTATAGAAGACGAAAGAGAGAGAGAGAGAGAGAGAGAGAGAGAGAGAGAGGCAGACGGGAGAGAGGATAGAAGCAGAAATTCGAAGACAGAATTATAGTTTTTATTCAATATCAAAGTCGTAATGATTACAATGCATAAGCTCTCTTTATATAGGGTTTAAACTAATCTAATTTAAGCATGAAAGAACCAATATTAAGATACTAGAAAATTTATAGAATAAAACCCTAATTACTTTTTCTAAATAAGACTCAAAACTTGGGTAAGTCTTCATATAACATATCTATTAGGATCTCCAGCAGAAGGCCTCCAAGTAATTGGATTTTAGAGGAAAAACAAAGGTTTGGGTCTCTTATCAAATGAAAACCATAGGGAAGCATGAAAGCTTTTGATGCTTCCTTGGTTAAGATTCAACAAAAGACAAGAATAAATCCACTGTCTATTTTACTTCAAACAATATGTATAGAAACTCCATAATGCAGGATGCATCCCCTAGACGGTTAGCAACCCAAGTAGTATGTTCCAAAACTAGAAAGACCGTAATCGGCTACCACTTCAACCAATATTGATGATCATGATGATGAGGCCCCTTCTCTCAGATGCAATGGACACAGAGAAGAACAAGTTATGCGCAAGGTTACAGTGAAATTCCCAACCAACACTAGATAAAGGTCATACTATGTAATGCATCAATGGAAGTCAAATAATATTTTACATAAATGACAAGAGAACACTCAGACCATCCTCGGATGGTTGATGTTTTATACACAGAGGCAAGAAATTAGATTCTAGAGATAGGCCACACTATGTAATTCTTCTGTCTCAAACAAATGCTTCTAGAATGAAAATTGATGAAGATAGTTGCAGTTAACTGATACTGAACTGTGCACTATTTACAGTTATTGCAGCATAAGCAGCATTACCCTCCAATCAAAATGAATATGATTAGTTTTCTTGATAACTACAGGCAACAAGGCACTTCAGGGTTGTTAGGTATAAAAATTTTGACCCACCAAAGACAGTAAGAGTCGCAGGAATTAATGTGCTCAATGGAAATTAGGTTGGAACTACGTGAACGGGACTGGCAGATGCAACGGATGTTGAGGAAGACTGACTGGAAGAAAAAATTATTGGCCAGGCTACAGTGAAATTCTCAACCAACACTAGATATAAGTCTTACTATGTAATGCATCAATGGAAGTCAAATAACACTTTACATATATGACAAGTGAACGCTCGGACCACCCTCGGATGATTGATGTTTTATACACAGAGGCAAGAAATTAGACGCTAGATATAGGCCACACTATGTAATGCTTCTAGAATGAAAATTGACGAAGATACTTGCAGTTGACTGATACTGAAGGCCATCAGAACGTAATGCATAGTAATTAAATTACACAGAACATCAACATCTCATCCGACAAAACCACAATATTCTTGTTAAACACTACTTGACATTTAAAGTAGTAGAAATACACTGAAAGCATTCATTCAACACCAAACCCTTTCTCTTGAAGTTCAGAAATAACCTCATTTCTCATCCTCAACCATAGCTTCAAAGCCTCTTGATTAAATTTCTTGTCTTGCAATGCCTTTTGATAATTGTACGAATCCTTATCTGTTTCAATGACCCCTTTTGGCCCAATGGTCGTTCCGATCATGCCACCTTTAGCAATGAAATCCTTCATGGCCTCATCGTCGCCCGGGTAAGGGAACTTTCGGCGCTCGTACAAATGAGCCAGCTCTTTCTCTTCCTTAGGTTTCGGTTTCAGCGTCCACCAACCCAACGGTGAAGTTTCATTCCAAAGCCAGGCCATGCCAAAAAGTGTATATGTGCATAGCAGTGCCTTGCCCACTTGCTTCCAGAAATAATGGTCTTCTTTACCTAAACCGACTTTCTTCAGGAATTTCTCGGCATTGAATGATTTCACCATTGACATACCTGGAAAAATAATATTGGCAGAACTATAAACATACTCAACTGTTTACACATATCTCAACCGAGGCATTTTGTCGAACAGTTCAAAGGCGGCATACAATAAAGAAAACAAAAATTAGAAGGCGAAAAAAATTACTTTAAATTAGACATTTAATTAAATTGAAATTATTCCATTAAATTCGGGAAGAATAGGTGTAACAGTGACCTTGAAAAATCGTAAAAATTGAACATAACATCATTTGGGAACTGGGATTAATTTTTTAGAATACGAAATCGTGGTTGGAGTTCTTATATAGACTTTTACCTGCTTTGGCATCTTGGAATCGTCTACGAACCATTGAGGAAATTCTTGATCAACCCGAAGTTGTCGGCTTGCCGTGGCTTCAGTGGCTGATTTTTATTTCTTGGTTGCTAATATCACTAATCTTTTGGAAGAGTTTCACTTAAGCCCCCAAACTTCAATTTTATTTAATTAAGTAACCAGAGTTTCATTTCATTTCCATTTGCAAACAGTGCTATTATCTCCTAGAAAATTTAACAGAGAATGCTGATGTGGCACACTTCTTATTGAAGTAGCAAGTAAAATTGAAACACGCTGAAGACGATAAAAGATTTTTTATTTAAGCAAATAAAGTTTGATTTCTTTGTATTTTTGTTGTTTTTTCTTCTAATGAATGCTAAATGAGTCACATTATAAGGGTCATTTTAGTCCCTGATAGAATTTTTATTTTTTTATTAATAGTAAATTTTTGAAGAATGTGTGGTTAAAAAGTAAAAAAATATTTTAAAAAAAGTAATAATTTTAAAATAATGGTTGTCAAATAGGACTTAATATTAAGCATAATACTTGTTTGATAGGGATTTTAATAATTTATTTTTTGACCGTTAGAGATAAAGTGAGTTCTACTTATGAAAGAAGAATTCAAAAATGACAACTATAATAGTGAAATAACAATCAAAAAATTGATTTTAAATAGCTTTTTAGCTGTACCAAACAAGTTCAAAAACTTTTATTCTTATATAATCCAATGAGCAAAATAAAAAAAGGGTAATTGACACAAAACGTCCTTACCTTTTATGTCTATTGTAGAAAATATCTCTACATTTTATTTTTTGACATTTTTGCTCTTATTTCCACATTTCTTGGTGCTGAACGACATTTTCATCAATTTTGGACAATTTTACCCTCTATTCAAATAAAACGAAATGAAAAGAAAGGAAAAAACAAATAACTAATTGCAACTACAACCCCCAATTTTTAAAAAACTACAAATCAATCACAGATATTATTAATTTAATTTTTTATTAAATTGATATTATAATAGAAACAACAAATTAAACGTATTAATTTGAAAATTTAAAACTTAAATTATTTATTTTCCAACAGGTTCAACAATCTCCACTGGCTTGGAGGAATTTCCCATTTGCTGGGTCTTCATGGAACACAAGGACAAGCTGCATTTCGGGAGGAGGGGACAATGGGAGTTGAATCAAATTTTGTTGTACCTATACAGAGCCAAGTGCTTAAGGAAGACTTGTATCAACAACATTATTCATGGTTTCTATTGTTTGGTTGCTCGTGTTGGGGAACAAATTGGAATTGTTGCCGTGATTTGCCATAATCTGATTAATTCTTGAAGCCCACTTCTTATTACAGCAGAAAATAATGAATGTACATGCACCTCCGGCCAGGATTTTTATAGTTACAAAATATCCCTAATCAACGCAATAAAGAAGATAACGATTGTGATTTTGTATAATAATATTTTGGAAAATATTTTCTTTATCTATGGTGTGATCTCCTGTAGAGTTTTTTGGGAGTAGCTTATGGTTGTAGATGATTTCCTCCGTTATCCTAGAAAGTCACAATTTTTTAAAAATTGGGGGCTGTGGTTGCAATTAATTATTTGTTGTTTCCTTTCTTTTCTTTTTGTTTTATTTGAATGGTGGGTAAAATTGTCAAAAATTGATGAAAATGACGTTTAGCGCCAAGAAATGTGAAAATAAGGGCAAAAATGTCAAAAAATGAAATGTATGAACATTTTTTACAATATATAAGAAAGGTAAAAACGTTTTGTGTCAATTAACCAAATAAAAAACATTGTACCTTTGGGCAAAACCATGTTTGCAAGTTGTTGGCAACCCCATTTTAGACACCCGTGCTTTACGGTACACTCTAATTCAGATTTTTGAATGTTGAGAGCCCAAATCAGTGAAATCACAATTGGGCCTAAGCTTGTCACTGTCTATGATTTAAATTCAAATGTAAAATGTTAAAATATATGTGTGTGTGCGAAGGGGTAAAAACAAAATAAAATTGAGCTTATCCAAATCAAGGCATTCTATCTATTCAAGGTGGCAAACTCATATAGATAATAAACAAGGGGACATTTGAATTCGACTGATAAATTGAATAAATGATCGTAGCCCTTTATTTAATAGTCTATATTTATATGATCTTTAAAATATATACACATTTAAAGACATCTCAATAAAAGTTTTTATAGATTTAGACCGTCAAATTAACTTAGGGTAAGGATTAAAATTATTACTTAATAGATCTAGATATCTGAATTAACTCGGAGTAATTGACGGGTTATAATCATTTGTTAAATTCATTAATAGAACGAACGGTCTCCAACAAATAGTTACACCTATAGCATAAAAAGTATTTTATATAAATGACAACATTGGATGTGCAGTTGTGTAATGTAGTGAAGCCTAAATGCATTGATTCGGCACTGTCTCATTGTTCAATAAAGTTGGAATGTATTTTTATTCAGTGAACAATATGATAGTAATTCATTTATCCCTAAATTAGTGAAAATTACCCAAATTACACTTTCGATATTACTAGATACGAAGCTTCGTCAAAAAATATCCATAGTATTACATTATTATTTTAATATTCAAATAATCTAAGTTTTTTTTTTTTTTTCTTTCTTTTTTTAACTTGCCAATGCAAGATAATGACTTGTTTAAGCGTTGATACCTATCCCCTATTTTATGGAAATTAAAATCTAATGTTTAGTAAATTTTAATAAAAATTAATGAAATATGTAATTAACAAGTTGTAAAATCTAACTTTGATTTGGATTTAAACCGTAATAAATGATGCAAGAGTCCAACCAATGGGGTGATTCAGTGATTGCAATATTGCGCGCATGAAGGTTGATGCACACGCATACACGCTTACCGGAGTGCCCAATCACATGCTCATGCTGTATTGACTTTTACAAATAAGAGAACAAACGAACCGGTCCACACCCAATAGGAATCTTTCCTTTAATGGAAACAAGTTGCCAACGCATGCAATTATTATCATATTGTGAAATGTGTAGTCCCTATCATTTCTCACACACTCCGACCCAACCCTTCCATCAGTTAAGGGCCAATTGCGATTTTCGGATAATAATTTATAAACAACAATATTTTCACATATATAAAACTAAAAATCTATTTGATTGCAAATATGAAATTTGAATGAAAAGAAAACAAATTTTAGGGAATTGAATTGTCTAAAAATTGTCAATTATTGTATTTGATTGGTATAATTTTTCATACAAAAAAGTTAAAATAAAAGTATTTTTTGGGTTCGTTTGACTTTATTTTACATGAAAATTATCAATTAAAGGGATAAAATTTACTGGTATTGGGAATGAAATTTGTTTTCATTGCCAAAAAAAATTTCAAGAAAATCATCTATCTTTTGGTGTTCGTTTGACTTTGTTTTACATGAAAATTGTCAATTAAAGGAAAAAAAATTACAATTAGGGATAGAATTTGTTTCCATTGCCACAAAAAAACGAAAATAAAAAATCGGCCAGCAACCTAGAAAATGAATTATCACCTCAATTTGGTGGATAATGGTTTAGGTGGCATCAAAGTTGGAAAATGAATTCCCTAGAAAAAAAACCTATAAAACATCCAATTTTGGTTTTGGGTAGAAATCAAATTCCATTTTCTATGGAATTCATACCTATCAAACATGGCCTGATAGTATTTAATTTATCGTACCAAATATATACTTTTCATTTTTGGTAGTCTCGTCATCAGTTTTGTGATTTATACATCATCTTTCAATGCAAATCACATAACTAACAACTTAATCGTGTCATACGAAATTACGGTTCGACACGTCTTGTGGTATTTTATGAATAAAACCTGTTTCTCAATTTATATATATAAATATAAAGAATTAAATTTTGGTTGTTGCATTATATTGTTATTCTTGGTAGGAGTTGGAGAGCCAACCACTAAGTGCATTCATGTGCAAGATGGAGCCAACCATTTTTTTATTATTTATTATTTTTTATTTTTGTTTGGGGGAGCGGGGGGGGGGGGGGTCACGTTCAAAAATTAAAATATTAGTCTTGTATCTAATTTAGAATTTCACTGAAATGTATGGGGAACAATTAGACAACCAATACATAAAGTATAGCCAAAACCATGTTCCCAATGAAGGATCTTGCATCAAGGATTTTTGTTTTATTCTTTTATATGTAATCACAAATTGTAATTAGTTCAAGTGTTTTTGTACTGGTATTGTTATGTAGTTATTAATGCGACGTGAATAATTTTGCCAACTCTAAAATTAATTTATAGACAACGTAACTTAGTAAAAATTATTTATAAATCGAAACAACTTTCAATCGAGAAATAAAGACACCCTCTTCCTATGTAGTTCACTTATTCTCAGTGCTTTATCATTTCTATATGCTTTTAGAAATGGAGAGGGAGGTTTTCAGTAGACTTACTTGTAGGAACTCATGATTCTTGATCTTTTCTTTCTTTCAATGACGAGGTTTAGGACTTTGTTCCATATAGATAGATGGCTATGAACTAGGTCACTTAGCTAAGATTCAACTCGTTACAATCACTGAACAATTTAAATTTAAGATATGATATACTCAAATTCTACATACTTACATCATGAAATATATAGCTTTTGGTAATAATTGCCAAGTACTTAAATAAGTGGTAGATCTTAAGTTTTTATTTAAGCCTCATTTTTTAAAAATAAAATATATTATTTGATGTGTTAAAGAGACTCTTTTTGCTGATTATTTTACGCGTAGTTGCTATTATTTCACTTGTAATCTATATTTGTGCTGATTATTTTACAACAAAGACATTGCTGACTTCTTAAAGTCTGTCCACTACCTTAAATGGCACGCATTTCACTAACTTCATAATTGTAAAGTGTAAATTTTAGCCTCCACTTTCCTAAAAAGGTTGAACCCCAATTTTAAGGGTGCCTCATCGCCCCTATCCTGAAGTATCGTGAGGGAGGTAAATCGCAGGTTATGCCTCCAAGGGTACAGGGTAAAAGGTTGCTTGTATACTTGCACTTACCCAAGAGTCAAATCTATATTGGTTCGAACCCTTGACGCAGAAGCCTCAAGTAAA